TTTTTTTTTTTTTTTTTACTTATCATTATTATTTCTATGTTTGTCACCAACCAAGACATATAAGTTTCATTAACACTTAGAATTAGTATTCAGGTTATAAACTTTTTATCCCAAATAGAAGTTTTAACCTCAAAAACAAAACAAATTAAAACAACAAAAGAAGAGCATGAATAAAAAAAATTATAGTTTGTTAATTTTAATTTTATACTTAATGAGATAAATTTTGAATTATCATTTATCAAACAAAAAGGAAAAATAGTAGTATTTGTTGATATTTGCAGCTTTACTTGTGAAGTATTATTAACAACTGTGCATAATAGATAAAGAAATTAGTACAGTACAATATTTTCTCTCTTTAGTTTCCCAATAACCTAGGCCTAGTGCATTAAATGTTGTATGTTGTTTTTCTCTCTTTAGTTTCCCAATAACCTAGGCCTAGTGCATTAAATGTTGTATGTTGTCTATCACTACGTGCCATCCTTTTATTGGCCAACAATCAAATCATTTCTAGCGCGGAGTTTCTCAGTCCTTAAACTCGCTTCTCGCCTCAGTCTCCTCTCCTGCTCTTTCCTGATTTTATTATGCTACGCAGCAGCGAAAGAAAGAAAAAAAAAAAAAGTCTTTACACAATCTCCAGTCCACTCGTCTTGCTCTGCGTATATTTGCACAATTTGGAAAGTCAACTACAAAGAACAGAGCCAAGAATCAAAGGTGTGGAAAACTTGATCTTTCCTTGTTCTATTTCGTTTTTTTTTTCTACTTGTTTTTATTTTGGTTCTAACCCTTTTAACAGCCTACAGAGTAACTTGTTAAATAGGTAGAAAATCGAAAGTAAAAACAAGGAAACTGGTACAGTGTGCTCTTCTGTGATGCCTATTAACAGCTGGAAATGTGTTTTTAGTTTGAAGTAATTAATTATTTGGTGATGTCAAGATTTATATGGTCTTCATCATCATATACATGTCCAAGTATTTATGCATGGTTGTTTGTGCCCGTACAGATTGGTGCATGTTAAGATTATGCAAGAAAAGAAAATAGTGCAACTAGTGTTTGGTTTGTTTTTAAATGTGGTATAATAATTAATTTGAATTGTCTGCAGAGATGGTGGCAAAGTCTGAGAAAATAGGTGGTGGGGAAATGGTGGGCTCAAACTCAAATCAACATAGGAGAAGAAGCTTCAATAAACCATCCTGACTTCTTTGTACCATTGTTGGTAATCACATATTAATATAACCTTTCAATTATAATAATGTTTATGCTGGTCCATGGGTCGGGTTAACTTTCATACTATTCCTATTGATCATATCAAATTATCAATTCTTCGTGTAGTGCATGAAAAGAAAAAAAAAACATTCATAAAAAGTTTTATTAAAATAATAAAACATAGTTTTTATTTTAATATATACACCAGCCACAATTACATTAGTTTAGCACTTCACAAAGCTTCTCAAATAATCATAAGTTTTCAAACTTGCATTTTAAGACTTGTGTTTGGAAACCACAATATTTGAATAAAACCTATAATTAAATTGGAAAATTTGGATGGCAATACCCCCTATTTGAGTTAGGTTCAAATTCAAAAATATTATATGTAAGTATTACTAGTAAAACCCCTTTCTGAGCTAGGTTCAAATTTCAAAATTCTATTTTCTTTATCTTTTATTTTTCCAAGAAAAAAAAAGGTGAGTGAGAACTGAGAAGTCAGTAAAGTTGCAAGAACAGGTTTATTTTTACCAAACGTATGTGTACGGGAAAAGATTGGAGTTTAAATTTTGATTGTAGTGTGGGGTCATGATAAAAGATGCTTGTTTCCCTATTTATGCAATCTTTGCCTTCTCTTTGGTTATTTAAAATAAAGAAATAACATTATGAGAGGTCCTTTTCAAAAGATGACCAGCCAAGAAAAGGATGTATTCAAAAAAGCCTGCTTATTTTACCATCTTTTACACATTTGTTGTTGTGTATTTTTGTACCCATTCCAGCCATAGCCACAGCATTCTATGTTTGAAATTTTTGATCTTTTTAGCTATGTAGCCATATTTGCTGCCGTGTTGCAGATTGAATCATGATTTTATTCAGATTCATAGACTTACATATCTATCTTTAATCCCATGTGTTGTGCCCATAGCTATTCAGATGCCAGTGTTGAAAGAATAATTCCAAATCCTCAACTCATCTAATTTGCACGGAAGTGTTTTTTCTTCTTCATAGGATTGCCTTTTGACCTTCATATCTCTCTTTTAACTTTATTTTTTTTTATTCTTACTCTTACACTTGAAGAAATCATTCTTCAAAATTTAACTAGCATGACATGCATATCTAATCCATCCCTAGGGATCAATAATCATAATTACTCATTTCACAATCAACATCATATGATTTAGTTTGTGCTGCTTCACACCAATGATTCATCTAAATGAAACAAACTTGCATCATTGTGCAGTTATGTTTAGCCCACAAAATAAAATTACATTCAAACAGTCCCTTTTGAATTTCAAAAACCAGATCTTTTCGTCCTCTGAAATGGGGCCACTTTCTGGACTATCACGGGCCATGGTAATATCAGGTCCATTTCATTGTGGACGAAAATGTAGTCAACTAATTTATTATCCTGGAATTTTTAAAAATTTAATGAACCCCTTATTAAAAGAATGCCAAAAACACTTGTTTATCTGCTGCATTCATCATTCAACAGATTTGGACGAGCGGGTTAAGACACTGACTAGGAAGAAAACTCATAAGGAAAACAGCCCCGACAGCTTTGCGGGCAGAGCCGACTCTTACTACCATGAGCACCCTCAGCTTCTTGAACTACTTAATGACCTCTACAACAGTTACCTCTCTTTAGCTTACCGTTATTGCCAAACGCTAGCCACGAAGCAACACCGCCACAGCCGATGCTTGTCCCCACTCCCAAATTTGAAATTCGACCAAAATATTCAACTTGATGAAGAAGACCCTGGAGAAGTCATAGACTCTCCATATGCTGAGAGTTCACTATCTTTCCAGTCCCCAGTGGCTGTTGTACCTCGAGCAAATGAAAAAATGGATATTGATATGATCTTTGCTGACCTAGTTATGAAGATGGTCGAGTACGATATAGTTCTGAACGAGCTCAATGTGGTGGAGAAGAGGTGGGACGAGTCGTCGAGAAAAATGGAGCTCTAGAAGAATTTGTTGGACGTGCTCGAGTCAGAAAGGCTCATCTTACTGAATGATAACGCGACCTTGGGGTATAGAGTGACAGTGCTGGAGGAAGAGAACAAGGGGCTGGCATCCGAGTTGTTGTTCTTGAAGAGAAAGGCTGCTGAGCTGGCGAGGTGCGTTCTGAAGGCAAGGGAGGATCACAGGGTCTGCATGCTGAGTCGAAAGATAGAGGATCTTCAGGGGCAGATTTACGGTTTGGAAAAGAGAAACAAGGAGTATTACGAGCAGCTCGTGATGAAATGGCAAGGGGAGGATTTATCTTTGTCTTTGTCTTTGTCTTCTAAGGGGAAGAAGAAGGGTGGTGAGGAGGTTGAGTTGGAGGACTGCTTTCGTGCGGGTGCTGGTGGTCTTGGTAAGTGCTTTAGCTTTCAGCGAAAAGACAATGGTGATCAGGACAAAAATGGCAGAATGAGGCCTTTACCAGTAAGTTGTAGCGCCCCATTTGTTCCGGATTAATTTGAAAATTTTTATTATTTATTTTATTTGTCCGAATAAATTTATTTATTTTATTTGTGCTCGTAATTGCCTTAATTGTTTATTATTACAGATAATAAATAATGTGTGTAATTATTTGCCTAAATATGTATCTGTATTATTATTATTATTATTATTATTATTATTATTATTATTATTATTATTATTATTATTATTATTATGTGTGTTATGTATTAACCGGTTTCAATTTAATTTTCGCCACGTCGAACCGAGCCTCGAATAATTTTCGAGTTGAGCCCGAGAGAACCGACTGACTTCGATTATTTTTCAGTAACCATTTTGGGATCTTTTTATCTAGCCTATTTGATAAATTTTTTTTGGCCAGGCTCAAAACAGATAAATTTTTATGTGTTTCTTTTTGTTTAAAACCTCGCCAGACCCAGTCTAGAATTTAATTTATCTGATTGATATTATCTGTTAAATTGAATTGCGCGACCCAAACCAAATTATCTGTTCAATTGCAACCAGAACGAGTCCAAAACAGATAATATTCTATCTGTTCAATTTGAAATCACCTGACTGAGTCTTTCTCTCTCACCCCCTTATCTCCACGTTCAAAATGCAGCTGCTATTCTTCAGCAGGATAATCTTCCTTATTCCTTCATAATCTCTTTCTCTCTCACGCTGCTACTTCACCATCTTCCTTGAATTTATTTTCCGATCAACTTTCCCCCATCACCTTTGTCATCTTCATCCTCTCCCTCCTCCATCATCCATCGCCGCGTCTCTCCCCCTCGACACCATCTCCGGCGAGAGCGACCAACGGCGTGAACCAGCATGAGCGACCATTCTCCGACGGCCTCTTACCTCCGGCGGTTCACACGAGCAGGCCCTCCTCCCCGGCGAGTCACTCCTCTGCGTGCAGCAAACCAACGGCCTCGAGCACCTCCGCAAGCCGTTGTCCTCAGGCCCGACCTCCGGTGAGTTCACCACCACTTCCGGCGACCACCCCCAGCAAGGACGTCATTTTCGGCGAGTTGCTGCCGGCGTGAAGCAAGCCCACGGCCACCCTCGTTTCCTTTCCGTTATTCCGAGTTCCGTTCGCGAGCCGATTCCCGACCCGTTCGGCCGACCCGCCGTTCGGCCCATTACTCTTCCGTTAGCTTGTAGATATTCGAAAGCGGGTAACGTATTCGAATCCTCTCGTTTTTCCGGTCGTGCTCGTATATTACATGATAGATAAATTTATCATATGTGTTACCAATTCTTGCTGAAGTCGGAACTTATTTCGAATTGTTTTTCGTCTCGTTTATCGGATCATGTTCGTGACCTCGTTAAACCGAATATCATGTTGTTGCTGTGTTGAACCTCAATGTGCTCGTTTATTTGATGTCGAGAAAGTATATTGATCGTTGTCGAGTTTCGAACCACCCGTTTGTATTCATTGGTATTTTATGTCAAAATACGTTATTTGCTGATCTGTTGTGTCGCGTTTTAAGCCATCTGAAGCTAGTTATTTGAAAATGTTGTCTTCATATAACATGTAGTATGTTCATTTTTCTAAACTTGGGCTTTGGAATTTCTCAATTTCGAGTTATATCGAATAAGTTGTGATTTTTACAAAAATGTTGCGCGTCCAGTTTTCCTGTTACCGGACAGCATGTCTATAACTAAAATATGGTCTGTTTATTGTATCGTAATGTGCTCGTATGAATTTACACTCTTCATGAAAGTTATAGGTCTTTTTCTTGCCTTTCAAATGAGATACATTTCATGTAGATACGTGCTCTGTAGCCCGTGTTGTGCTCAAATGAAGTTAGACATGCATGAGTTGGAACTTTTTACTTTGGCAGACATCTGATATGGAATATGAGCTGATTTTACCCTATTAAAATGATCTTAAATGCTTATGTATTCTAAATAAAAGTTGTGGAGGCATGCTTAAGGTTTAATTTGAGACTTGAACCATGTCATTGGGAGGTTTGTAGCTCGGTCTAGGTTGTAAAAACTGAAGTACTGTCCATATCACATGTGAGTTTTTGACAGATTTGCTGAACTAAATTTTTTGTGTTTAAACTCATTAAATATGTGTTTATTTGTAAACGTGACCTTCATAAAAGTTGTATACATTTGAGTTATCTATCATGTGGTTTTTGAATTTCATTAAAAACATACCTGTAGCTCCAGTTACAGAGTAATTACTGAGGGCTGGTCAAGTTCATTACCCCAGTTTTGGACTGTGACTCATTTCTGAATGTTTGTTGATTTATCACCTGCTAAATGGCCTTATTTGCTTTCGGTATCTTCATAAGAACTGTAGATTCATGTCTTAGGATTCCAATTCAACTTGATCCATGATCACATGAGTTGTGTGTTGAGAGGTATGTCGGTTTTAAAAATGCTGCTCGGGTTAGGTTTTCAAAACGTAAGTGATATTTTCAGAATTTTGATTTCCTTGATTTAATGCATGCTTAAATGCTTACGTGAGCTTACTTGGACTAAGTGATTCATCGAATAGTCATTGATAGGGCTATTTTATTAAATGTAGGTGCTTGACGAGTCGAACTCGCCGCCTACACTCAATTTGTGATTTGTCTCGATTCCGACCAGGTGGGTTGTTATTCTAAAATTATCTGTGCAATGTGTGTTTAAATATGTTTTTCTGATTTGGCTTGATCTATGTATGAACGTGAATATGTAGCCTAACGATGTGAGCTATTATGATGGCATCGGTACGGTTGTCCCCGTCGATGTAATACGGTTGCCCTTGCGAGGCAAGTCTCCTTAAGACCTATTATGAAAGGCCGTGTCCTTGCGTGGCACGTACTCTCGCCGTTAGGGTTATGAATCCCCTTTCCGCGACTATTATTAAAGATGTGTACACAGGAGTATTTATGTTTATGTTGGAGATGTGACATATGTGATATTATTTATGTTCATGCTGCGACCATGCCTATTTAACATGGTACCAAATGTGCATTGCATAGTGTGAGTACGATATTTAATTGTACTCACTCCCACCTGCTCGTAACTGATGCAGGTTAAGCAGTGGTGCGTGAGGAGGAAAGGCGAGTGGTGGTCACACTTATTTATTATGTTTATTTAATTGCTTCCGCTTTTCACGAACTTATGTTGGTATTGAACTTACGTTGGTTTGGAGTTGGAACTTGTTTATTTTGAAAACATTTGGATTTGGTTCATGTTGAAAAACCTTTCTTGATATATGATTGAGTTCATCCGGATGTTTATGTTTACGTTATGTGGTTAATGAAAACCGTTGGAAAAATCGGGTAATGAATCCCCGTAGTTCAGTTATGACTTGAACTGTGTTTTTGAAAAGAATGAGTAACGCCAAAAGTTTATGATTCGAAAAATAAGTTTCGAAAATTTTTACCTTGATTTTTGGAAAAGCCATGGATTTTCTTTAAAAAAATCGATTGGGGCGTTACAGTATGGTATCAGAGCTAGTCTGCGTTTCTGTAGACTATCTCTAGTGTTAGTTTATTCAACGACCTTTCGACCACTCGCTTTCGTCTCGCCGCACCAACTCGAGGTATGAGTTTTGTTGTTTTATTTATTTTATATGGGGCTTAGGACTATCCACCTTTGTTATAATTTGAATTATAGTGTTTGATGATGACCCTAGAAATTTTCTCATCCTTCTCCTCTTTCTTATTCTTTTTCCTATATTCTTATTGTGGTGGATCCTTAGGAGGACATAGCCTTAACTTAAGAAAGAGCAGCATTTCACATTTTGAAAGAATTCGCCTTTATGTTTGCAATCGAATCCGCAGTTCTCTTTTTTTTCATAAACAAAAGCCTACATAGCAGTTCCAGTGCTGCGCCTTTTTTCAAATATCCCATAAGTGAATCATTTCATTGACTGAACCCAATTAGGTCAGTAGCTGGCCGAGTAGCTGATAGACCAAATAAGCACTTATCTTTGCGTCCATTGATGTGATGTTCGGTTGAACGTGTGAATGAGGATTGACCGATCGCAAGTTCCACTCATCTCAGTCCTTCACCTCTGGATGAATAAAGAACTAATCAGGAATGAGAGAGAACTGCTTAGGTCGAAAGTCCGTAAGATGTCAAATTATCGACCCTTTACATAGGGGGAAAGTGGTCTCCCCCTACCAATAACTGATAGGGAAAAGACGTCTAGTGAACATAGTATACACTTTATCAAAATGAAGAGATCTACTATGAGAAAGTCTAGCCAAAGCCTGTCCTTTACAACCACCTATCCTAGCTAAAGGTTGAAAAAGCTCTATAAGTCTCGAGTTAGCACCTTGTGCGAGCTATCTCGTCGATAGATGAGATTTGCGTTTATGCACTATAATTTTCTGGTGACCAATGTCAGGATGCCTCGTCGAGATTAGACAACCGAGAGGTCCCAAATGTGCGGGATCCTTCGAATTTCTGGGGCAGTTGACAAGTGGACCAGAAGAGGCATGGTGGAATCCAATCATTGGAGTGAGAGGATTGGAACTTAGTGCTTCAGATGTGTTGTCATTTGAAGCCAAGAGTTTTGATGACCGATTAAGCATTGCTAACGTGATTCTCGAGGATGGCAAAATCTCGAGGAAAGGATGACTACTTCTTATTACGTGGACTATGAACGTTGACCGCGAAGGCTGGCAGTTTGACGGAATAACTTCGTAAACTCAAGTGGATCTAGCGTACTGTATACGCAGAGTCCTAACTCGACTACTCTGTTATCGTTCGTTATACCGACTACTGGCATTGGGGCCAGAAGAGGATCGTGTCGTTTCATTCCAGGTGCGAATGAAGGAGATTGGTGACCTACGCCAGAGAGGATCAACGGTGGACGAATGTGGCTGAATCCTCACGTGGATGAACTCTTCTGCTCGACCTTTGGTCAATACAGAAGGAGAATCTCGTGAGTATGCTCTCACTTAGACGAGGATGAACTGAGCAAGGATTAGACAACTGACCGGGAAATCGAGACTGTGTGTTTTCTATTAATCTTTCCGTTTTTCGTATTTTATCTTTCAAATTGTTGTGCAATTCTGTGTTTGATACTGGGAACTAACTTTGTTTAGAGACTTTGTGTACAAAGAAGGATAAGCATATTTGTTTTTTTTTTTGCTAAACCTTATTTGTCGCAAGGTTTGTGATTTTTGTTTGCGATAACTCCGAGTCCGTGCACTCGAGTCGGTGCAAGCCACTATGGTATCTTGACCTGGAGGCCAGCGATAGTCATTTATCTGATTGTAATTAAATCGTATGTCGCATCGAAATTGGTTTTCCCCGATCGGGAGTCGTCGACTAATTCAAGAAAGGTGTCTTACCTTAAAGGATTATGAAGGATCTTTTAAGGAGGGTAGTCGAGCCTGGAGCATGTGCATTGTGAAGCATAGAGCCGCTTGTATTCTCGAACTTATGTTTCGTTGTAAACTTTGACAAATTTTCATTCTTTTATTTCGTTTTGGCCTTCGGGAGAAATCTTTCACTTCCTTGAACTTTTGCAAAACCTTTGAAAACCCTTATCTTTGTTTTCATTTTCGCTTGGATTTTTGAGATCAAGTTTTACGACCTGATGTACCAATTAAGACGAGTATTTTCAGCTTTCTACTGGTCTTATATCATTCTTTTAGTTGGGTTTGGATATTCCATTCATCCGAACCAATTAATTTTTATCGTTATTGAGGACGAATTGGACCATTTCTGAGACGCACCGATCATCTGAGGGCAACTGCAAAATCATTGAAAATCGATTCAGGGCCGATGTACCGTCAACCGAAGATTTAGGAGTGGACGTATCAAAACAGACTTTGAAACCCGAGGAGAAGTCTGCAATCGAATACTCATTCTTCTATGCTAACTACCGCAATGGCGACTGCGACGAAATGTCTGGTTGTAATTCTGCAGCGACGTCATGGTCTATCTCTAGGATCGCCGAGACGTAGCGGAAATACTCGAAGATGTGATCGAGGTCTTTCCGATGAAAGAAACCTCTCACCGAGACCTTGAGGTGTGAACTCTGGACAATGCAGATGAGTGGAGCTCATTCAGGTCTACTGGCACGAATAGCTACCGGAGAAAGAGCTGACGTGACGGCCGACGCTGTTTATCGGAAGAGCCGAAGTGAGCTAGCTAGTTGGTGTTTCAGAGAGAGAGCCGCTGACCTAGTACCATTCTCGACTGGAGAGCCGCATTCGATTTCCTTTGAGGATTTTGTCTATCTCTAGCGTTGGGTCTTTTTGCGTGTTAGAGTATGCTATTCGAATATGGTAGTGGACTTGGAACTCTGTTTTATACCCTGTTATTTTTTAGACCTTGAAATTTTTGAATTCGTGAAAAAACAAAAAAAGCTTGTTTGGAAGGGACTCCATTTTTACACATTTTGTGGAAAACCCTTCTCTTGCTATCGCCTTAGCCTATTTAAAATCCCAAGTCAGAAAATTTTCGTATTGAGAAAAACTATGGATTAAATTTTCTTGTCAAAACTTTGAACCGAAAGCCGACCCTAACTGGGTGTTGCCACGAAGTGGTGGTCAAGCGTGTACGCCCGTGCTGATAGACGATAGGCTTGCGCGCGGTCGATCGTTGACTCACACGCAAGCTACAGCTGCCATCACCGGACACACAGAACTCCCATGCCAGCATGATTGGCAAAACATTGACCTTGCAACTAGTCTCTGAACAGGTGCACGTAAGTGTCCTGGCGCCCCGCATATGCAGCGCCTGCGAGCGTGTCGCCTCTTGGAGGACAGTGCATTAAAAAAATATATATATCAACCGTCTATTTTATTTTCTTTTAAACGGTTTAACCACCCAGAGTTTCAAGTTCCACCGAACCGTGTTCGCATTCTTGATCGATAGTTTTGATAAGGAAGCGTTGTCGATAGGTTTTCTACGCATCTGCGAGGATTTCTCGAGATGGCGAGATAGGGGACTTGTGTTGCCAACAAACGGAGCCATGAGAGGCTACGTTTGTGTCGTAGAATTATGTGTTGTAAGTATGTGTTGCAAAATTTCCGTGACAATCGCTTCGGCAAGAAGTCACGAGTGTGTCGAGATTGTGGGTAAGTTTTCGGCGTGACCCGGGCACCATGCTGAAACTCAACTCCACGTGTCGACCACGATTGTTTGACCGATGATCTCATGGTCGAGGCACTATGAGACCTGTTGAGGTCGTGTGTGTTTGTTGTGTGTTGCGTTTTGTGACTTCTCACCATGGGTGGGTCGTTTTGTGTTTTGTGTATCTAGCGAGTATCTTGATGGTACCATTCGAGTTTTTCCCTTTCATATGACTAGAGGTGTGGTATACCTTGGTTTGAGATAAATGAGGATCCGCTGTCGTATGCGGTTAGTCCTTTGAGATCCTTACTCGAGTCGAGGACTTGGCTTATCGGCTAGCTTTACCACCGAATTTGTCAGGGTGCATGGTGTGTTTCATGTCTCGATGTTGCGTAGATATGTGCATGACCCGGACCACGTGGTGGACTTCGGCGAACTGCGGGTCGAGCGAGACCTTACCTATGAGGAGGTACCGGTCGCCGTTTGGACCAGAGTGTCCATCAGCTAGGGAACCGGGCAGTAAGCCTTGGAAAGGTGCAGTGGAGCTGACATGACAAGTCCAAGATGACTTGAGAGAAGGAGGCTGAGATTAGGGGGAGTTTTCCCAACCTTCTCGTTTTAGAGGTCTTTGTATTCTTGTAGTTCGTTAGTTTCCTTGGTTTTCGAATTCCGAGGTCGGAATTCCTTTTAAGGTGGGTAGATTGTAGCGCCCCATTTGTTCCGGATTAATTTGAAAATTTTTTATTATTTATTTTATTTGTCCGAATAAATTTATTTATTTTATTTGTGCTCGTAATTATCTTAATTGTTTATTATTACAGATAATAAATAATGTGTGTAATTAATAGCCTCAATATGTATCTGTATTATTATTATTATTATTATTATTATTATTATTATTATTATTATTATTAAATAAATATTATGTGTGTTATGTATTAACCGGTTTCAATTTAATTTTCGCCACGTCGAACCGAGCCTCAAACAATTTTCGAGTTGAGCCTGAGAGAACCGACTGACTTCGATTATTTTTCAGTAACCATTTTGGGATCTATTTATCTAGCCTATTTGATAAATTTTTTTTGGCCAGGCTCAAAACAGATAAATTTTTATCTGTTTCTTTTTGTTTAAAACCTCGCCAGACCCAGTCTAGAATTTAATTTATCTGACTGATATTATCTATTAAATTGAATTGCGCGACCCAGACCAAATTATCTGTTCAATTGCAACCAGACCGAGTCCAAAACACATAATATTCTATCTGTTCAATTTGAAATCACCTGACTGAGTCTTTTACTCTCACCCCCTTATCTCCACGTTCAAAATGCAGCTGCTATTCTTCAGCAGGATAATCTTCCTTATTCCTTCATAATCTCTTCCTCTCTCATGCTGCTAGTTCACTATCTTCCTTGAATTTATTTTCCGATCAACTTTCCCCCATCACCTTCGTCATCTTCATCCTCTCCCTCCTCCATCATCCATCGCCGCGTCTCTCCCCCTCGACACCATCTCCGGCGAGAGCGACCAACGGCGTGAACCAGCGTGAGCGACCATTCTCCGACGGCCTCTTACCTCTGGCGGTTCACATGAGCAGGCCCTCCTCCCCGGCGAGTCACTCCTCTGCGTGCAGCAAACCAACGGCCTCGAGCACCTCCGCAAGCCGTTGTCCTCAGGCCCGACCTCCGGTGAGTTCACCACCACTTCTGGCGACCACCCCCAGCGAGCCCGACGTCATTTCGGCGAGTTGCTGCCGGCGTGAAGCAAGCCCACGGCCACCCTCGTTTCCTTTCCGTTATTCCGAGTTCCGTTCGCGAGCCGATTCCCGACCCGTTCGGCCGACCCACCGTTCAGCCCGTTTCTCTTCCGTTAGCTCGTAGATATTCAAAAGCGGGTAACTTATTCAAATCCTCTCATTTTTCTGGTCGTGCTCGTATATTACATGATAGATAAATTTATCATATGTGTTACCAATTCTTGCTTGAAGTCGGAACTTATTTCGAATTGTTTGTCGTCTCGTTTATCGGATCATGTTCGTGACCTCGTTAAACCGAATATCATGTTGTTGCTGTGTTGAACCTCAATGTGATCGTTTATTTGCTGTCGAGAAAGTATATTGATCGTTGTCGAGTTTCGAACCACCCGTTTGTATTCATTGGTATTTTATGTGAAAATACGTTATTTGCTGATTTGTTGTGTCGCGTTTTAAGCCATCTGAGGCTAGTTATTTGAAAATGTTGTCTTCATATGAAATGTATTATGTTTATTTTGCTAAACTTGGGCTTTGGAATTAATCGATTTCGAGTTATATCGAATAAGTTGTGATTTTTACAAAAATGTTGCGCGTCCAGTTTTCCTGTTACCCGGTAGCATGTCTATAACTAAAATATGGTCTGTTTATCATATCGTAATGTGCTCGTATGAATTTACACTCTTCATGAAAGTTATAGGTCTGTTTCTTGCCTTTCAAATGAGATAAATTTCATGTAGATACGTGCTCTGTAGCTCGAGTTGTGCTCAAATGAAGTTAGACATGCATGAGTTGGGACTTATTACTTTGGCAGACATCTGATATGAAATGTGAACTGATTTTACCCTATCAAAATGATATTAAATGCTTCTGTGTTCTAAATTAAAGTTGTGGAGGCATGCTTAAGGTTTAATTTGAGACTTGAACATGTCATTGGGAGGTCTGTAGCTCGGTCTAGGTTGTAAACACTGAAGTGCTGTCCATATCACATGTGAGTTTTTGACAGATTTACTGAACTAAATGTTTTGTGTTTAAACTCATTAATATTTTTTTGCAAAAGTGACCTTCAGAAAAGTTGTAGACATTTGAGTTATCTATCATGTGGTTTTTGAATTTCATTAAAAACATACCTGTAGCTCCAGTTAGAGAGTAATTACTGAGGGCTGGTCAAGTGCATTACCCCAGTTTTGGACTGTGACTCATTTTTGAATGTTTGTTGATTTATCACCTGCTAAATGGCCTTATTTGCTTTCGGTATCTTCATAAGAACTGTAGATTCATGTCTTAGGATTCCAATGCAACTTGATCCATGATCACATAAGTTGTGTGTTGAGAGTTATGTCGGTTTTAAAAATGCTGTCCGGGTTAGGTTTTCAAAACGTAAGTGATATTTTCAGAATTTGGATTTCCTTGATTTAATGCATGCTTAAATGCTTACGTGAGCTTACTTGGACTAAGTGATTCGTCGAATAGTCATTGATAGGGCTATTTTATTAAATGTAGGTGCTTGACGAGTCGAACTTGCCGCCTACACTCAATTTGTGATTTGTCTCGATTCCGACCAGGTGGGTTGTTATTCTAAAATTACCTGTGCAATGTGTGTTTAAATATGTTTTTCTAATTTGGCGTGATCTATGTATGAACGTGAATATGTAGCCTATCGATGTGAGCTATTATGATGGTGTAGACAATTAAATTTTGAGCCAATAAATGGCAACAAGTGTCAAATTCCATGTTAAACTCAATTTAATAATTTTCTATTTTATTTGGGAAATTAATCAAATTTTAATTCCTAAATTAAATAGTTAATTAATTAATTATTTAATATATATTGTTGGCCAATTAAAGAATGCCACATGTATATTTTGAAGGTCAATTAAAGAATGCCACATGTCATTTTCTTGGAGAGTAAAATAAATAATTATTTCTTTTAATAATTATTAAAGAGATAAAGAAGTGGAAATTCATGGACCAATGAAATTGAAGTCTTCTTTTCCAAGAGTCCATCTTCTAATTATCTCTCTAATAAATAAATATTGGAAATTATGGACCAATCAAATTGAAGTCTTCTTTTCCAAGATTCCCTCTCCTAACACCTATAAATAGGGACCCTCCCTAAGGTGAAAAATCACAATTCATATTCATATTTCAAGTTTCAAGTTCAAGAGCTCTAGAGAATTCTCTCCACGAGATTCAAGTGTTCTTGAAGATCCAAAGGCGTTCTTGAAGATTCGAAGGAAGATTCAAGCGCATTCAAGCTCAAGACCAACGTTCAATCCGGAAACAAGCTGCCAAGCCTCCGAATTACGTTATTAAAGTCAAATCCGGCGTAGAGAAGATCGAAGATCAACTTTGCGACGAAGACCAAGGACTCGTGTTCTTCAAGTTCTTGGGAAATTAAGACGTTCGATTCGAGATCTAGCTGTCAAGCCCTCGAAGAAACGTTATTTAAACTCATATTCAAGACCGGCGGAGATCAAACTGAAGATTCATCTCCAAAAGTCTCAAATCCACTTGAAGATTGTTCTTGAAGAAATTAATCAGAGGAATAATAGAGATTTAGAATCCACTTTATTTCATTTGATCCGTTGAAATCCATTTGTACGAAGTTCTCGTGTTTATAAATTCAATAATACGAATTTTGCGTTACAAATTTCTGGCACGCCCGGTGGGACAATCTCTACCTCTCATCTCTTTTCTTCAAGATATCTAAGTGCAACAATGGCTCCTCCCAAGTCAATTTCTTCAAGTTCTGCAAGCGAAAGTGTTGGTGTCACAACAAGAAGCATGGCAAAAAACAAGAGTGTATCTCTCGAAGAAAATTCTCGCCAAGTTGAGGAAATCATGTCACCTTTGAACCAAGAAGAAGATTTAAGAGATGATGTTTCATCAACACCTTTCTCAATGGAGGCACTTGTTATGATGACGAACGCATCAACCATTGAAGAGCAACTTGCAACCATGGCAAAACAATGGAGGCATTGATGAAGCATGTCCAAGATCAAGACTCCATGATCTTAAAGCTGGTAGAAAAGGTCGACAAAGCTGAGACTAGCCGTGCTGGGGGCAAGCAAGATGAAACACATGAAGATGAAGAAACTTCTAAAGAAGATGAGGTGAAGCAAACTGAAAAAGAGAAGGCTACGTCAGAAATCCATGTTTCTACAAGTGGAGTCATACCAACTGACCAACTCAAAGAGTTCATCATGGGAACCATCAAGGACAAATTCGATGTAGGCTCCAAGTCGTCTTTAACTTATTCGAAGCCATACACTCAAAGGATTGATAGCTTGAAGATGCCTACTGGATATCAACCGCCGAAATTCCAACAGTTCGATGGTAAAGGAAGCCCGAAGCAGCACATAGCTCACTTCGTTGAAACTTGCAATGATGCTGGAACATATGGAGATCGTCTGGTGAAGCAGTTTGTTCGATCGCTGAAGGGAAATGCATTCGAGTGGTACACCGACTTGGAGGCAAATTCTATTGATAGCTGGGAGCAACTAGAGCAAGAGTTTCTCAATCGCTTCTATAGCACACGAAGAACGGTCAGTATGATTGAGCTCACTTCTACAAAGCAGTGGGATGAAGAGCCTGTTATTGACTACATCAACCGTTGGAGAAATTTAAGCCTCAATTGCAAGGATCGATTGTCTGAAGCTTCTGCTATTGAAATGTGTACTCAAGGGATGCATTGGGGTCTCCGATACATTCTGCAAGGAATTCAACCAAAGTCTTTTGAAGAGTTGGCCACTCGCGCACATGATATGGAGTTAAGCATGTCTGCAAGCGGAGTAAAAAATCCACCTGTCCATGAGCCTCAAAGATTCAAGGACCGAAATGAAGCCAAAAAATGGAGCAAGTCCCCCTCTAAAGCACCTAACAAAGAGGTGAAGGAAGCAATGGCGGTCAATGCAAGACCCATCAAACTCAAGGGAAACACAAGTGAAAAAGGTGTGGAAAAGAAAGAAGTCCCTCAAGACAGGGGGCAGAGAAAGTTAACCTTGAAGGAGATGCAAGCTAAACAATATCCTTTTCTTGACTCCGATGTTTCTGGAATTTTCGACGACTTGATTCGGGAACAACTTATCGAACTGCCGGAGATGAAACGACCTGAAGAAGCGGGACAAGTTGACAACCCAAAATACTGCAAGTATCATCGTTTGGTGAGTCATCCCATCGAAGATTGTTTCGTCTTCGAAGATAGAGTTATGCAGTTGGCACGACAAGGCAAGATATCGCTTGAAGAAGACAAAGGCACTGCGAACTTTGCTTCAATAGTGAACTGCGATGAAGGATATGAAAGTTTCTCATGTTATGTGACAAGTGAGCAAGATGATGTCCCAAGTGATGATGAGTCAACTGATGACAAAGAACGATGTGATCATGAAGACAATGATGCGGCAGTCACCTTCACGGATGAAGACTTGATGTTGGGCTCAAAACCACATAATAGGCCTTTATTCGTAACTGGTTACACCCGTGAGAAAAAGGTGAATCGCATATTGATAGATGGAGGTTCTGCTGTGAACATTTTATCTCTGCGCACTCTAAATGAGCTGGAGGTCCCGATAGATGAGCTCTCAAATAGCCGTTTGATGATTCAAGGCTTTAACCAAGGGGGGCAACGAGCTCTAGGTATAATTAGATTGAAGTTAGTGATCGGGGAGATGACTTCAAATGCTCTTTTCCATGTGACAGATGCCAAAATCTCTTATAATATGCTGTTGGGGCGTCCTTGGTTGCATGAGTATGGAGTGGTGCCTTCTACTTGGCATCAATGTTTCAAATACTGCCAGGATGGTGTAGTGAGAAAAGTGCTTGGAGACGATAAGCCTTTTACTGAAACTGAGTCTTATTTCGCCGATGCTAAGTACTATTTTGAAGACGTTAAGACTGTTGGCAAAGAAGTTCTCATTACACAACAAAATGATGTCAAAGAGAAGAAAGCCA